TCCTTCATCCATTATCGAAACAAGCCCCGGCAGCGCGAGGAACCCAAACACAGACGGTCAAAAGGAAGCTAAATCTTAGCACATTTCGATAACCATGTGGACTGCACTAAGATATATTGTTAAGTTAACAATAATTAATTCAATTTTTCGATGAAAGACGCGGAAGAACTTATTTTTCTGATGTTTTTGCTGAAGAAGCTTAGAATGTCATCTATTGCACAACCCAAGGGCAAAAGTTTAGCAAAGACGGACAAGAAAATGGACTATACCTGAACCTTTCCAAATCATTAATGAACTACGCCATATTTCTAATTTTCCAAACATAAATTCATTGAGTTTGGTTAAATAATGTTGTTTTTTCGTACATTTTCAAAAAAGGCACTGCTCGAAAACTAGACAGGGAGCCCGTTCCCTGGTATTATTTTTTTTTGTAAATTAAAATAGACTATCTACCTGGTGTAGATGTAAAATTAATGCACATTCACAATTTTGAAAGAAAGCTTATTAGAGTTAAATAGCAAACATTTAAAAAGTAAAAATTATATGCTTTTTTTTGCAAAGGTATTGAATTAATTTTGGTTTGCACCAATTCATTGTCAATTTATGCTGGCATAAAGTTTGTAAATAAGTYGTTTTGTCCTATTCCAAAATATTTGAAAAACGATATATTTTGTAAATTAAGAAATTAGAAACAACAAAATTTATTAATACATGTACACATGTATGCATTTTGAAAACAAATTGTATTTGAAAATAAATAAGAATTCATTTATTAAATGTGCTCAAAAATAACTTATATTTTACATCTGCAAGCATTGATTTTCACTCTTGCTGCCTGCGTTCCTGTATCATTGCTGTTGTGTGGCATTTCTTTTAAGAATGACAAAGAGTTAATAGCCTGCTTAGCGTAGGGAATGGGAAGAAAAAGGAAGGGAGAGCCTGCAAGAGAGTCCCACAGGTTTATAAAATTTACAGTCTCGTACGGATGAAAATTGCCCATTGGTCGAGGAACAAGCTGTAAATCAAATGTCAGTAATAGATACCAGACCAAGTTGGCGTTTTTACCAACATGGCAGGTGATGAAGAATACCACCATTTTGTGTAATCCTATTGCTCCCAATGTTTGATTGTGATCAGGAGGCAATATAATATTTATTGTGCTATCTACATGTATTCATGACCAGTTTACAATATACATGTCAGTTTACAATATACAATTTACATCAGTAACAAATTTTTCAAACTTTCTTTGAATTCTGTCTTTTCTCTAAGTTTTTCTGAGGTTTCTCTGAGTTTCCTTTTCTCTGAGTTTTTTTGGCACTTTTACTTTCCTTGTTATTTTTCTTTACACAAAGTTGTTTTTCTTTTGCATCTTGCCCCTTATTATTGAGCACTTGTTCTCCTTCAGGTAATTCTGCCGATCGCTTGTTAAATGCTGTCATAGTTACATTATCAGACTGTCGAAGTGTTATAGGGTTGGGACTGGGCATGATGGTTGATGGTGTTCTGGGGCGATGAAAAAAATGAAATTTGCTCTTGACTTTTGATCTTATCTGTCAAGGAAATGCAAACAAGCTGTCAAATATTGTCCCWTTCATAAAAATTAATTCACAGACGAGTGGGAATTTTCAGTCTGCTTTCTATACTAGTTGTGTAAAGAAGGATTAACATCCGAAACGTCAGTAAGTTATTTCCCATACTTTTTTACGGTGTTAAACTTATCTTCTTTACACAACTGTATCTTTAGAAACACAGACGAAGCTCACACTAGTTTACCGCTAGTTCCCACCATTTTTCTATACTAGTACCCTTTATTGCCTCCTTCCAGAAACAGGAAGCAAAGAAAATGGAGAAGCTATCAAGGAGAATACATAGTCATTTACTTACCTCACTATTTCTAACACAATTGAAAAGGAAGATCAAGAAACCCTGAAACAGAAAACATGACTTTAAACAAATAGCAGGCCAGAGCATAGTCTCCTCTCGCAGCCGTTAGGAAGTTTGTAGTGACCTGGGAACGAACGTCCAAACGGCTGCGAGAGGATACTAGCCAGAGCACCTTAAGCGTGGATTTCACTAACGCATAAGCACGAAGCACGAGACTCATATGCGCCAGTGAGAACGGGCTCAAAATAAGCATAAGCATGAGCACAAGAAAAACGAGCAAGGCTTGATCTTCTTGTGCTTATCTCATGCTTATCTCATGCTTATGCTCAGTGAGAACAGGACTGCATAGGCATAAACATAGCCTGCTACCGAAATAATACTCTCATGCGCATGCTCAATGTGTTATGCTTATGTCGAGCCCGTTCTCACTGACGCATATGAGCTTGTGGTTATGCTATGTTTATGTGCTAGTGAAATCCACGCTTAAGAGTTCAAAGACTTATAAATTACAAATTAAAATATTGAAAAATAGTACAGGAAAAAAATAGAGAGGGCTAGCATCAAATGGTATGAAATTGTAATGTTCTGTGGTAAAATATGCTTGTAATAAGTCATCTTTAATTATCACTGCAAGAGCTTAGGAGACTGTTGCAGTTGTAATGTTACAGATGGCAGCATGTATTTTAGATGAAAAGTTCATAATTTGTTAAGAATAACTTGCAAACTTTTGACAATCAGATTTGATTCAGTGTGGCATTTAGCTGTGCTGACCTGTATTGAATTCATGATTGTGAAAATATACTGGGCAGCCACACCCACTTGTGACATAGTCAGGACGCCAAACAACCAAGTGACACCAAGAAGAGGGAAAAGAACTATACATGCCTTGGCTGTCTTCCTATTGACAAAAATATTGTAATTAAGAAATAACAAGATTCAGTTACCATGAAAAAGATGGCCAGTAGGTCGGAGTGAAAGTACTCACAAACTAAAAGGTGAATTGGTCAGAATCAGATGATGGCTTACAGTAAGGGTATCCCTTGCAAATTA